CAGATACCGCGGATACCGTATCGGATTTGCCATGGCTGCTATTCGGTAATTTTCTCGAGATCTCGGGCAAATCGTTGGAAACTGCTGGACAAAGTAGAGCGACTCGTTTTAAACCGCGTGATACGCGCGTAACACGATGGTCGATTAAATTGACGAGGGAGGAGCCGCAGGAACGGGAAATAGCGTGAAAGATCGAGATGTTCGGCTGCCGATCCGAAGAGAGATAATCGGGGATCGAGCGGACGCGAGGAATGCGAAGAGGAACGTCCTCTTCGCGACGTCGTCTGCGCGACGTCGCGTGTTTTCTCGTGAGTGTACCGTGCGAAGGAATCTTCTCAAGAGAATTCTCCGACATATATGCAACTCTTTTATGCATTTTCCTTTCGCGCTTTTTTCTCTTGCTCCTCAGCGATACGATTCTCTTACCGTGACGGATTGCACACGTGGATACCATCATTTTCGTATCAATCAGCTTGATCAAATCGCGCATGCATCTCCGTCTCTCGGCGACAATCGTCCTCGCTCGCAGTTCTTCTTTCGATACGCTAGCACGTCTCGTCGTTGTGCGCGGCAAATCAGTCACCGGAGATAAGTCAATCGCCGGATTATTTCTCTCTCTATCTATGCTTATACGATTTTCTGTTTCAACGGGAGACGAGGATTCAAGTTGCGCCGATTGCCCATAGGGATGCGATTGACCCAGATCTCGTTCGTGTTTCGTCATTAGATAAACGACATGACGTGCTTCATGTAATAAATTATCTATCTTCTTCGACTCGAATTTTTCGGAAGTATCAACTTTACATCTCGCATCATCAATTTGTCGCTCATCCAATGAAGGAATCGCTTTTGGATCAAAGATATCGGTTTTTGCCAAAGTCGTAATATTAGAACTTTCGTCGTTCGACAGTTCGATCGACGTGTCCGAATTTGCGTTCTCGTGAATGTCCACGGTAATTACAGGGATCGCGTCATTTCGTAGTCCGATATCTTCCGTGCTTGCTAAATCCGGATTCGACGACAATTGACAATTCATTGCTACATCCGAATCTATTTGCAGGGTAGAATCCGTACAGCTTTCTGCGCTAGAACGGACGGTAATAGGAATCCTCTCCTGAAGACTGGACGAGTCCGCCGCTTTGCCACTATCGAGAGAGTATCTTGAATCGTCCAAGATATTATAACTGGCGGTGCTGTTCGACAATTCGTCATCCGAAGAGTTATCGTTGTCGTCGAAAGAGGATATCTCCGTTTCGTCAATCGACGATGTATTATCCTGTCGCTGTCCTTCATCCTTGACATCCGCATTCTCCTGAGAATTTTCTCTACAATACGTTCCACTTTCTTCATCGTTGTTCGTCGTTATCAACTGTTCATTGATGGGAAAGGAAGAATTATCATTTCCGACATTCTCTAAAGGCATATGCCGTATAGAACCGATCAGTAAGGCAGCCATTATGCTAGTTTTGGTTTCATTGCGGTTTTTCTCCCTCTTAGAATTCATGGTGAATGACCGGGCCAGATCCGCGTCAGAATCGCGATCGGACTGCTGGTGATTCTCTTCACCGACGGAATCAAATTTACTGCGTAGATGCTTGATTTGTTTGGAAAGTTGATCTCTCGATGGCTTCTTTCTGACGGTGGCGTTTTCCGCCGTCAGCGTGGTACGTACGGATTTCGCCGTTTCGTCGATCAAGTTCCGATTAAGTTCCGTAGACGGGGCGAGATCCGAACCACCGGAAATACCTATTCTTAAATTCAAGGTACTCAAAGTGTTGCATCGGAAAAACGGAATACGCTTGCCACGTTTCCTTCGCGCCCCGGTACACCCAGGAGCCTCGGATATCCTCGTTGCGCGTTCTGGGCGCGTTAATGATGATAAAGATCTCGCGCAAGATGGAAGACTCCTGTTCATGGGTATGCGCACGGGATACGAGGCGGGAATAGAAATGGGAATAAACGGTGTACTGCCGTCGGCATCTAAACGTCCCGTTTGTGCTTTAGTGCATGAAGAGAGCGCGAATGCGATCCTACGCAAACGCATGTGGATATAGGAAAGACAGAAAAATATCCATTAATCTCTTTCTAGGAAAGTGCAGCATAAGTAGAGGCAACAACAAAATGAATAATTTAAATCTGGAAAGTATAATTTAAAAAGTATGGATTTTTTACTTATTACATAAAAAAAGATAAAATCATATCAGTAAATGAGCTCAAACAAAATAGCTCAAATGAGTATCGGCAGCTTATCAATTACATTAACTAATTGGCTTGATCTATTTGTGACACAAATATGGATGTACTAAAATAATGAAAAGCAAAATTGAAGATAATTGATTGAGATATATAGTATCATAAAATGGTTCTCTCTATAGATAGATGATTCGTTCGATAAATTCAACTCGCCCATATCTATCTGACAGAAATTATTTTCAGTGGCGAGAGATAGAACGTCTCGCTCATAAAATAGAAGGGACTACATTTCCTTATACGAAATTCTAGAAATAACTTGTTCATGAACGCCAAGTTTATGGTCGGTCTATTATGAGTTGGCAACTCGATTAATTGGGTTGCACAATGCCAGACGCAATTGCGTGATAATTCACCGTTTATCGTAATGATCGAACGTATAATTGTATTCGACAAGAGGACATTATCAGTCCATGTTACAATCCGATGTTAAAGATATAAAAGTACTCACTCCTCGATGTTGATATTGTCGCAAGGGAAACCGAGAACATCATGCAATTTTACGAGCGTCACTGCTGTACCTATACCTCTGGCAACGATACCGGATTCACCTTCCAGGTCAAAGTTTTGCAGATACCTGATATTGAATTAGTAACAAGTAATAGATGCATCTAAAATCGGTTCCTTATATAAAATCTCTTGAGTAATATTGATGAACTAATAAAATGTATCTAAAAAATTGAAAATTTTTGGAAAAAAAAAGAAATATACCCAATCACAGCATTTCCACCAAGATCCAAGGCTTTCAGTCCAATCTTCCTTTGGACTTCTCCGCTTAATTTAAAAAATAAAGTCTGTCGTGCCTCATTTGATGCTCTAGGTGTTCTTATTTTATCGATCCATTTGTATTCAGGATCGTCGCTGACTACAAGTTCTTCAACAAATCCATGTATCATTTGAGCATGATATCCGTATGGTATGTTTGGTGCTAAAATATATTTATATATATTTTGACTATATTTATTGTATTTATAAATCTTTTTCAAATACTATTTTTATTAATCTTACATCATGTGTGATGTGTATATAGAATCAATAACAGCATAAATTCAAAAAAATAATATTTCGTACAATAAAGAAATAAAATATAAAATCAATATATTAGAATTAATTCAAATCAGTCTACTGTTTCTTTTAAAAGTATATAAAAATATACTTAAGAATATGCTTACAGTAAAAAAATTGTACCCCACATGATGACTGCCTAAATTTGTTAAAATCAGAAAACAACTCCACTTTGATAATAATATTCACTTCACCACGTATACCATGCATAGTATCATATACAGGTATCCATCCAGTCATAACTGACCCTGTAAAAGCAAATGCATAAAGAAAAAAGAATATTTGAGAAATATACAAAATATGCAATGTCATATTTCGTATTATATATATATAAATTACCTTGTGAACCAGCACTGGTGTTCATAGATGCTTCTAGGGTCCAAATGTTTTTTACTGGAGGCAGCATACCAGGTAATAATAATGGATTCAAGTTTACGTAAACTTTGCCTATCGCATCATTTGCAGAGTACGTGTCATGATCCATTAATCTAATTTGCAACGGTTCATCTTGCAACTCTGCATCGTCAACTTCAAATCGATACCATTCTGAATTCCATTGTGGGTTCAATGATTTTCGACATACATCCGTCTTATATGTTATAGTGCCAAACTTTAATTCCACATATGCATCTGTTGTATCACCAGAACGATCCATGACTGGTAAATTACGACCAGCCAATATTTTCACCTTTATTTTTCCAGGCATTGTGTCACTTCAGCAGACTACAAACAACCTGTAACAAAATCATATTCGTGTTTATTGAACTATATGCATTATGTTAATATAAAAGACCAAAAATGCTATCAAACACATGTTTTCATATTATTGCACAACAAATGGTATTTTATGTTTATTCTTACTTGATGTAACACTCTGGCAAATTTTATTATAATTGTTAAATAATTTTTCAAAATTTCAAAAGCATCACACACTGAAAGTCATTTCTTCGAATACTGTGATATTATGTATAGTAATAATATAGAAAGTTCATGTTTTATATATCACTGTATACATTATCAGTGATATATCACTGTACATCGTCCTATACTTATATACGCATTCAGTTACATTTCGCAAACAATTCAATCGTGAATATTTTATATCGTGAATAATTAAACTTTCTCGATTTTTCCATCGATAATCAGCCGTTTATATCTTACTCTTTATAAAAAGTTATAATTAAATTACAGAGAACAATACAACTCCAGCGAAACACATGACACTGATTGTGAGTTTTAATAAATTAGTCACGATACAATTGAATTAAGTGTCTCCACTGCAATTATATTAATAAGCCAATGAATTTAGCTATCGTCGCGTTCTATCTGATTCTATCTGGCACGCGTGATCAAGAAATACATGAATCGTCCAAAATTAAACTGTGTTGTTACAGATGTTTTACTGTCAACTACATATATTTGTTATTTCAGCGGCATGTTATATTGCGATTTACTATCGTAAAATTCGAACGAAAATAAAATGATACACATAACATACACCTGCACATATATCGCATGTAAAATTTAGATCACAGAAAATTAAATGCCCGGTGTTTTTTTATAAAAAGCTTACCAGGTCTCGTTTAATAGCACCATCTACATTCATTTTATAGAGACTGGAATTACATCAGTCATTTGCGTTTATTGATTGTCGATAAAATCACCGTTTATTAGTTCGTGTTTTCACAGATAGGGTAACAGTACCTTATCAGTGGTGTCTGCAATATATCCGTAAAAGGTGGATCAAGAAAGAGAGGATTACACGTATGCATTTAATATTTTAATTTAGCTACGCGTAATTTTTTTTTCTTTATTTTATATTGTTAATATATGCTATTATTATGAAATATTTTCATGTATGCATGTAAATGATATTCTTGATAAGGAGAGAAAACAGAGAAAGGCCATAGATCTCTAATAAACTAAAGTTTTCATAATTCAACACAATAACATTATACACAATACTTTTTTAATCAAAATTTGTCGAAATTTATTCGAAGTATATAATATGTAAAAAATATTCAGCATTAATTTTTATACGTATATTTTATAAAATATGTTAAATATATTTTAAAGCGATAAGAAGAAGTTGGCAGACCTTCATATATGCTATTTGCTTTTACGACGTTCAGCACGCAGGTTTGCCAACGCATTTGTCATTCGCGCGGCGATATTCGAGCCGGCAGGGAATAACGAAAGTCGTTCCACGCCATCCCTTCTAGAAAGGTAATTCTTTACGAATAATTAGCCATTATTAATTATCAGATTATTTTCAATTATTCAATTTATTAAATTGGGTTAAGGATTCATCGTATTTCAAAGTATCAAGACTGCAAGTCTCGAAATTATTTCGTCGTACGATTACTCGAAGTGCGATTTTGGCGGGAAACGGCATCGCTTCGCGATCGCGAAATTTGGGAGTGTCGTACAAAGTGTCGCGCGTTTAAATGCGGGAGTGCCGTTTAAAGTATCGTGCGTGTCAATCAACGGACCCTGATGACCCTGACGACCTGAGAGGATGAGAAGGCCTAGGCATCCGGCCAGAGCAATCCTGGGGTAAATACTTATTATTTTGTACATTAGTTGTTGTATACATTGCGTAAGAGTATTAATTTAATTTATTTATTTGAATTTAAACAAAAAAGAAACTTTTATATATAAATACTATAAAAATTTCTATTTCAAAAATAATTTTTTTTTAATTTATAAAATTATTCTATCCGGTTATTATTATACGCATCAGATATAAAATTCGGCGGATACCATAATAATTTTTTGAAATATTAATTATTTTGAACGCTGCTATAATTTGAATTTTATATTTATATGTTACAGATCAACGCAGCTTTAATAACAATACGCTGTTGCGTACCAGTATCAGTGAGTGAAATTTTTATTTAATTTTAAGGCAACAGATTTATAGAGATTGTAGATGTAGACAGATCCGTTGTCTTAAAATGATATAATTACCGATCTATAATATAGTTCAACAAAAAAAAAAAAAACATAAAAACAAGTCTAATCGACAAAAACATTAAAGTAGATCTTTCTTGCATATTTAATTTCAAATTTCTCAAACTTGTGATTCGATGAAACAATTTGAAATCGGAATTGCATTCAGTATCGAAAAAACTATGAGTAGTTACTAATATTGTTTCCGCATAAAAAAAAATAAATTTTTTTTAGAACTGTATAATTAGCTTTTTTTAATTATACTTTAATATTTTATCTTGGGCAATGCATAATGAATATATAAGAAATAGATAAATAATTGTATAATATTTGTATAATAAGAATTTATTATACACATTTCCAAATATTTTTTATGAAACAATACAAATATTAATGTAAAACACAAAAAATATTACAATCTGGATATAACTAAATAATTAAATAATTGCGAAATATCAAGACTATTGTGAATTATAGAAAAAATTATATAATTTATAAAAAATAGAAATATCTATATAAAAACATGTAAAGCATGATGAAGCTTGAATGAAGTTACCATATATAATACAAATATAAAGAATATTTTTAGATTGAAAATATTTTGTTAAAAATTTGATCTCCAAAGGCATATATTATTTATATATTTACAAAAGATCTAATTGCCTAATTAGATCATTTTAATTGTTTAGTTGAATCCAGATTTGAACTATTATTTATTATTTATTTTATATGCACTTGGAATTGTCATTATACTCTATGCCTGCATACTCCGCATAAAAAACATAAACATAGTAATGGACACAATCCAATAGCAGTTATCAATACATATATCGATAAATGTACTGCTTAATAAATATGATTGAAATATCGCAATTATTTTACTGCCTGAAGAAAACCAGGAGTTTTTGAGATTCGCGTATAATAATAATTGTATGTATGACGGTAAAAATATTCTAAAATATTAATTATTGCCATAGTTTACATTCTTCCGGTTGACATACTTAGAATTTGATTTTGCCTTGTTGAATTTGATCATAAATCTCTCGTGTTAATAACTGATAACCAAGCTTCGCGTCTAAATAATATAGCTTGTCTTGTATTTTTTCTGCATTGTACCCTTCTTCTTGGAGATCCTTTTTCTTTAACTTAAATGTTCCTATAAATCATGAATAGTTAGCATATTTTTTAATAATATACAAATATTACATAATATATACGAAATAAAAACCATTGCATAAAAAATTGCGCGCAACTTGTTTTTCTGAGGCAATAATGTCGAATTTATATATAAACACGCGTACCTGTGAGATCAATTTTTGTCAGAATTCTGACAAATTGTGGCCTAGCATAAGCGGGTAATTGTTCCTTAATATCGACGCTTAATTTATTTATATCCAATGTTCCATTTTCATCGTAAATTGCAGATCTATTTCACATTATATGCACTTTATTTGTGTATATGTAATGGATATAAAATTTTGTAGTTTTGTACTTACTAATATTACTATTGCCTTCGGTAGCGCCATAAAATTCAAGCACTTTAGGAATATTGAATCGTTTTACAAATTCTTCCCATATCTGCGGCCTTAGCCCATTACCAAAAATCATTCTAACATTATGCTCCTTGTCCTCTTTCTTAGGTGATACTGCCAGGATATACCGACACATTTCGCCTATGTATTGAGCAACCTGATATTTTCCAAAATTTTATTAAATATATAAATATGATGCTTATATATTTATATATTCAATAAAATATTTCATTAATGGCTTTTTTTGTGAGTCTAAGTAGAATAATACAATTTAATGGTACATTTTATACGTAAAATGGTACATTTTATACGTATTATTAAGAACAATTTAACGGCTCTCACATATATACATATATGTACACGGATTTAAAAAATGAGACTAACATAAATTAAATTATTATAACGTATTACATTGCTATCTTTTCGAAAAATTGCAATTTTTGTATTAATACATTTTATTGATAATTATTGCATTAGCTTGTCGATATTACAAAAGATTATTATTGGAAAACGATAATAAAATTGATATTATTACCTCAACGCCGTATACTATGCAATCTCGATAGTTAATGAGATTGCTGATTATTGCTTCAACTTCAGAAGTCGATACATTTTCTCCTTTCCATCTAAACGTATCGCCCGTTCTATCTTTGAAATATAAATATCCCAATTCGTCAGCCACGAGGATGTCTCCTAAATAATCAAATTCATAATATTGTCCAACTTTTGTTCAAATTTAAAAAATTTTAATACTATATGTATATACATATATTTAAAAAATATATATTTTAATTTACAACTTATGAAATATTCTTTATCATGTCATAATTAAACGTTTAATTTATAATGGAAATTTATATATGTAGTTCCAAAGTCGTTTTGATATGTAACATATAATAAACCAAATTTTGCACCTGATATGAAAGCAGAATCTCCTTTTGTGAAAATATCGCGAACTACCTTTTTCTCAGATGCTTTTTCATCCACATATCCTAAAAATGCCCTGGTCGGATTGTTTGGTAAAATCTTGCCAATAAATACGCCAGGTTCATCTATTATAAATGAAAAATTAGATTGCAGCATATATAAAATGTAATGTGCTTAACAATATTGGTTAAAATATCTCTTGCTCGAATCATAGGAAAATCGTTACCGGTTAGCCTAATACAATTTTTGACTATATATATGTTATAATAATAAAATTTTAGACACCAAATGAATGTCAAATTGAATATTTTTTGTTTTTCGTTTCTTAAATCTGGATATATTAATTATCATTAATTATGTTTATTGTATCAACAACGCTTACTTGGTTCACAAACTTGACACAGCCCTTTAGAATTGCGTATTGGTTCGCCATCTTCATCTACTTTGATAATAGATATAGGATATAACGAAGGAACAATTCTCGAAATAAACCCGACTGCACCCGTCTTATTATCAACGTTCACTAAAAACAAAAGAGCCAATTCAATATTTAATATCTATTTCACATTATATGCACTTTATTTGTGTATATGTAATGGATATAAAATTTTGTAGTTTTGTACTTACTAATATTACTATTGCCTTCGGTAGCGCCATAAAATTCAAGCACTTTAGGAATATTGAATCGTTTTACAAATTCTTCCCATATCTGCGGCCTTAGCCCATTACCAAAAATCATTCTAACATTATGCTCCTTGTCCTCTTTCTTAGGTGATACTGCCAGGACATACCGACACATTTCGCCTATGTATTGAGCAACCTGACATTTTCCAAAATTTTATTAAATATATAAATATGATGCTTATATATTTATATATTCAATAAAATATTTCATTAATGGCTTTTTTTGTGAGTCTAAGTAGAATAATACAATTTAATGGTACATTTTATACGTAAAATGGTACATTTTATACGTATTATTAAGAACAATTTAACGGCTCTCACATATATACATATATGTACACGGATTTAAAAAATGAGACTAACATAAATTAAATTATTATAACGTTTAGAATTATTTAATCAATATTTAACAAATTAAAAATTACTCACGGTACATTTGTATTTAAGACAATCACTAAAGTACGCGCTGGCTGAAAATTTCTTTCTAATTACTGTTGTATGTCCAAATAATAAAGCTTGCCCTACAGCCATGACTCCACCAGCAGTATGATACAATGGTAAAGGTGTATATAATCTATCGGAATTACGTAAGAACCCCACATAATGTACAGCACCCGCGATAAAGATATATCTGGGAAAATATGATATAATTTGTTTTAATCTTTATCATTTTTTATATCTTTATCATATTTCCATTCTAATAATTGAAAGAAAAAGAGAGATGTAAAATTAACTATCTATTTCTAGAATTTCGAAAAATTGCGGAGAAAAATTTTTCAAAAACTCCAGATCTCTATTTGGGAAAGAAGTAGAACATATATGTATAGTATATATTCACCTTGAACTCGTAATTATAGCTGCTTTTGGAAGACCTGTAGTGCCACTTGTATATATATATAACAATCTGTCGTTATGACCGCCTTTCTCTTGCACCACCGGTGGTGCTGCGGACGTATCCACCAGAATGGCATTCAAATCTTTCTCTTTTAATCCGACCGACATTGCATTCGGATGACTCCCGAATCTGTATAAGGCCAATTTAGCATCTAAAGACGAGGCGATATCTGTCACAGCTGGAATTAACATTTAGTGTTGTTTAGATATTTGAGACTAAAAATTATTAAGAAAAAAAATGACAATTAATCGAACTACTAAGTTAAGAAAAATCGATTTTACGCTTAGATGTCAAATTTGTATTATCTCGATTTTAATGCGCAAAAAGTGATAGTATCGTATTAATTACCGTTAAAGAATTCCGCGCCGTATATAAGCGCCTGACATTTTGCGATATTGAGACTGTGCAGTAAGCTGGTCTTACGGAGATTGGTGTTAATCAAAGGCGTTATCACGCCAAGCTTGCTTAAACCTAGCCAAATCCCAACAAATTCCGGTCGATTTTCTAAGAGTAAAGCAACCGCATCTCCTTTTTTATAACCATGCGTTTTGAATATCGTCGCAATTTTGTTACTAAAATCCTCCATCTATGAGAGAAAAAGCGAGATTTAAAAAATCACACATTATGATATATTTATATAAATAATAAAAATATGCCTAAAGGAAAAAGAATCTCAAATCTTTTCAAATTAGTTAGAGAATCGGTTATTAAAATAGAGATTGCTAGTCGTGACACACTATACATATAATAAGGATTAGAAATACAAATTTAATTCAATTCAAGCAAACTTACTACGTGTATTTTATGCTTAAAATCATAAAATTCACTGCACATATAAGTAATTAGGACGGTCAGCAAATTTTGTTGAAGATAAAGTAAATCATTAAGTGGAATTATTAATTATTAATTACATTATTGAATTGAATTATCGTATTATTAATTATTAATTATACGAGAAAAACTTGATAGAAATTCCTGAATAAGTAAAAAATTAATTTAGACTATTAAACTTGCAAATTTCAGAATATAAAGCATCGATCTTAATTTACATATATTTAACTCTGTATGAAATATCTTCGAAATTTAAAACATATATACTAAATGGAAAGCAATGTGTCATCTTCTTTTATAAACAAATATATATTTTACCTGTTGAAAAGTCCATTCCTGATCTTCGAATATAAAGCAGACTTTATTAGGATGACGATTCACCCATTGTCTAAATATATCGGCGACGCTTCTATCTTTTTTCTCGTGACCACGTATTGACCGCAGCATTATAATATAAGCTATAAGTCCTCTGAAAAAAATAAAAAAGCCTTTAAAGAAAGCAATTTTGATAATAACAACTTATACATGTTACGTAATTATTTTACATAATATATATAATTTAGATATATTCATGCTATTCATCTCTTTGACTGCTCTTAATACCTACTAAACAAGATTTCAACAGAAAGAAAGAAAAATGCTAGTAAAAGATTAATTATTTTATGCCAAATTTTTTATTCGGAAATATATGAAAGAAATATACATAAATATAAATTTAAAGACGTATTCAATTATCTTGCTTAATACATTATTCTAAGCACATTCTATGATTTTGAAAGATACTTCAATGAAAGATAAGTCTCTCAAATACGTGCAGTCAGTCATTCGGGAGAGGTAACCAAACCAAGCGGACAAGAAATTCCGTTATATCTTCTCGAGGTCAAGAAAAGAGGATGCTACATTCCCTCAGCAGCAGTGCGGAAGGCCACTAGCTGGCAAGTTATAAAATATGGTGGGAGAAGACAAGGACACATATAATATAGAATCGATCAAAAGTTTGCGCGCCGCGGAAGAAAAAGAACAAATTTTTTTCATGATTTATTTCACATTACTTTTGAATTCTTTGCGTCTGTCTTGTCTCTCTTTATCTCACTTAGTCTTCCTTTCTTGCCACGACGCGTCTGGACTTTCATTCGATATGATACGACGTTTCGATAATATTGATTCCTCAAGAGTACGCGATGCGATCGATCCGATATATAGTCTATTCCTTCTTTGATCTCTCATCCTTTCAATCGCAAAATGTATCGAAGTACCGTGACCGCGACTTTGGTCGTGGCCTAGATCCCAATCGCGGTCATGGCCATGACCATGACCACGATAATGTCCATAGTTACGGTCATGATCACAGACACAACCGTGATAAAAAATTACCTCGTCTCGAAGAAATTAAATTATTCGGAACGCGCGGGAACGCATGTTTCCGCGATGCCGATATTTTCATACGGAACGATACACGTGACGAATCATGACTTTTGTAAAATATGTATAATATTCTGCGATGTGTTATTTTTCTAGATCGCGTCAGAGCTCAATTAATTTTTTACACGGAAAAAAAAAATTAGCTGCCGTAGCTAAAAACTGCGCGTGGTAACTAGATTTCAGTCGTAATATTCAGTCGCGAACATCTTAGCTGTGACACCTATTTATTAGGTGCAACAGCGAACACGGAAAAACTGCCGTAGCTAAAAACTGCGCGTGGTAACTAGATTTCAGTCGTAATATTCAGTCGCGAACATCTTAGCTGTGACACCTATGACACCTATGCAACAGCGAACATCTTAGCTGTGATACCTATTTATTAGGTGCAACAGCAAACCGTTTTGCTGCAGTTTAGAAATTTATTTTGCAAACCATGATTAGCTATGGTAGCGAAATTTTTTTTTTCCGTGTACACTTGCAAAGTTTACGCTCAATTTCACGTTCACATTACAATTGCTATAAAAAATTATTAGAGCAACGATAAGGCAACATTTTTTCTTTAGGTTTTCTTGAAAATTCCACTAATTATAAAATAAACGGAAAATAAATATCTCTCTCAGTATTTTTATGTGGAAATATCATAAATTATATTGTTTAAACTGGTGAAAGAGTTATAGAATGCGAATAAGAAACGCTGCTCACTTAAGCGAAGAATATTACGAAGGCTAGGAAGACTCTTTCTCATTGTTTTGATATAAAATGATGTATTTCTGAGAAAACATTGTGTGTGACTTTGTAATTACTCAAGATTGAATGTATGTTTGTACGCGCATACATAGAGACGCGCATACATTTTCATTATTCACATTAATCTCAAGGATTAGCAGCTAAATTTATACCACATAAATTGATTTTAGAGTTAATTTGCGTTTCAACAGGTCTTACATGTCTGATTATATTAAGAGAATTGTATGTGCCATTGTAACTACATGATCAAAAGATCTTTCTTGTCTCTGGATTGTATATTATATCTAATTATCAATTTTTTTTTCATACAACCACCAAAGTAAACAGAAAAAATATATTGCATCTCGCGTCATAAAAATCAAAAGAAAGATAATAAATCGAAGTAAATCTCATTTTTTTTTAGTCCAAGCAAGCAACATCCTCTCTATCGTTTCCACAGTACACTTCTTAAATTTATTTTTGGTCGATAATTTCCGACTTTATTTTTTGTACGTCTCGTACATTCAGCTTCCGGTGAAAGTCGCTACATCTTTCTTCGCGCACATCTCTTGTCCCTGTATAATACCGGTTGTTAATGGCATTTGAGCAAAAATCTGCGACGTACGTATAAAATTACTTTTAATTTAAGCTTTATATTTGTGCGGTAAAAAATTATAATCATCATGAATCTTTCCGACCCATTCATTCAAATCTACGCAAACTAGGACGTTTCATTCTTTATTATTATTTGCGGAGAAAGTTTCAAGTTTCTATTACAACGAATGCAAATAATTCTGCCAACAATTCTTTATCATGTCTTTCAAATAATTTACAATATACGAGAAAAAGATACGTTATTGTACCTTTTTTAATATAGATAAATTAATAAAGGATTATAAATAGATATATA